CTATATATATATATATATTATTATTATATATATATATATATATATATATATATATACATATTAATATACGTATAGTGCAAGCCAGTACTTCTGTTTGCATGACGGAGCAGGGTGACTCCCGTATACAACATAAAATCAATGTAGATGGGTTAGGAGTTTTTGTCTCATATATATATCGATTACTGATATTGATTACGGTTCTGTGGTTATTATATACTCTATAAGATTATGGTCTATGACTAACTGGCTAGAAACATTCATATGACTAAAAAATGCCCTGAAACGGGGTGAGATCATATGTGTACATTAAATAGATGGACAAACGTAGTAGTACGATTAGTTTACTAGTCTTCCTATCGTCTGAGTGGTACGCATTCCAAATCGTCAACAGCGCCTTCTGTCTACTCCAACCCGATACAATTAGTACATCACCCCTTTTCTGGTCCCATGGTTGTGAGCACGCTCTCCGGCGGGAACCAGTTGAACCCCATCTCTGCAACTGGACCACTATGACATTCTTTCCTAGTACAACACTGTATTCTCACAGAGGGATTGTCACATCCCACATCCAAAATCTGTTATTTGCAGTATGAAAAGTTCTTCGCGGAAGAGAAGAAACGGCTCGACGCGGCAGGACAGCAACTTCCAAAAGATTACTGGTTCACAAAACAGACCATTGGCAATGCCTGCGGCACTATTGGTCTCCTGCATGCACTTGGCAATAGCCGAAAAAGTATCAGTATAGGTATATTGTACGAACGCAATCTATGTGCGGCATTCTATACGTGATTATTCCTTTGAATGCAAATACGTATGTATGTGGTCGTATCTGATTGAAGGTTGCGTTACTATACATCGAATTCATATGCAAAGATCATTTCATGTTGACATCGATATATAATGTATTTTGATATTCTCACGCTATTTTATATGTAGGTATGTTTATCGACAAACCATTTGTGGGTGTATAAAAAAATATATTGAGTCTAAAGTTAATACTTTTATATTGAGTCTTTAAGTTAATACTATCCGTTGAGATGTGAGATTTGGTGTTTTACGGCAATGATGCGATTGTTCTCACATTTCTTGTCCGTTTCATATGTAGACAACAGTCGAAGTAGACTGTTGCATTGGTCAATTGATTAGTTGCTATTATATGCTGTACGAAAATACGTTATCGCTCGAGGCAGGCAGCCTTTGTTCTCGAAAGTTGCGGTAAGCATTTGCAATACTTCGCCAATTCTTGAAAACACATGCCAATTGAGTGAGAGGAATCCTTGGTGTGGTTCAGCCGCGGAACCTGCAGTGCCAGTGCTATTGCTGTATGATTTACCAATACGCGACTGGAGAAACTGGGCATCCACCAGGGCAACCGTACTACCGCTGCACTCGAATAGAATCGAACCACATCAGTATACTATCTCATAATGTTCGCATATCCCACATTCTTTTGTCTGCACATTGATGGCAAAGCACAATCACGCACTTTTACATCACCACCCCACGGCATATTCAAATTGAATTGTGGAGCTGTCACTTGCACTACCACCGCAATCTTGGAGACGGTGGGTTGGGCAAGTTCAACTATGTCCAAGACACCAATGGAGAAAACTGTATACTGCCCAAAAACCACTAAACAATGGATCACAATATCCTTGCGTACCAATACTGATTTCTTGTGAGTTTATATGCATTTCGGTCGGTAAATTGGAAAAGTTATGAGCCATATACCCCACCAAAGAATCTCTGGAACAAATACGTATACACGGCTCACAGTTTTCATGTACTAATACTGAATATACTGCATTTTGTGTTTGCATGCATTGTAGACGGTGAGCTGGGCAAGTTCTTCGACTCGACAGAGTCCATGACGCCCGCAGACAAAGCTGAATTTCTTACCAAAGCAGAAGGCATCTCGGCCGCACACCATGAGAGTGCAAACGAGGGCCAAACCGCGGTGTGTATTTAGTGGTTTCCCTCGTTGTGCATATTTATACACATACATATACACACACATGTTTGATAGACATCTGCAACTCACTTGGGGGTTAATTAATGTATGTACAGGATTATAAATCCTTCCTGGCTGTTCCGAGCTGTTCGAGGACTGGTATGGCGCGCATATATGTCCTAGTGAGCATACATACGTAATTGTGTTTCCGTATACATATATATATATATATATAATATATATATATATATATATGTATACACACACACACACACACACACACTACT